TGAAGGATGTAATGCAGGACATGGATGGAGACAGCTGGGCAAACCTAGACAGTACCCTGGCAATAAATGGCTCAGCTCATGGAAGGGAATGGGAGAAACCAGTAGAGGTGAGGTTGTACCAAGGAAAAATGGCTCTGGTACCAAGGCAAAGCAAAATGAGGTTAGCAAGGCTTTGCTAAGGAGGACCGCTGACCCCCACAACATCTGCTCTCTCTTGCTGGCCCATCTTTATCCAGCTCCACCATTTGCCAATTGGCTTGTCTAGCTTATTGCCCCCAGAAGGACTTTTCCGAAACTTGCCAACCTTAGGATCTCTGCAGCAAAGCATCAAGGCGACTGCCCACAGCCTTCCCGAGAGGATGTTAATTCCCCACTGCCCAGCATAGCACACTTCCCCAGCCCTTCTGTCTGTCATGCTGCCACTGCAGCCCTCCAGCAGCAGCTCTAATCCCTCCTGATGGCTCTCTGGGCCAAGAAGAGGGAGACAGAGCTGCCTTTGGAGAAGGAGACCCTCTGGTCTGCCAAGAGGCAATGAGGTCCTGTTGGGACAGTGTGTTAAGCTGCCACCCATTGCTGGGAGTCTGAGGCATCCTCTCTGCTGTGCCCTGATTAGCCACCTCTGCCTAGCAGCAGGGGAGCAGGAGATTTCACCACATGGCATTAGCAGGAGGTGGGACCACTTCCACCGCTTTCCCACCCAGAAGTTGGGATTTTCTTGAGGGCATCGCACCTTTGCGCCAGGGCTCCTCAGCTCTGCTCTAGCAGATGGCTCAGGCAGCAACCAGCCCTCCACCAGCCCCACGGCACAGGAGATGGCTGTGCACTGCCAGTCTAAACCACTGCTGCCAGCAGCAGCTGCTCAGCACCTTTTAAGGAAGTCCCCTTCCCCCTCTGGAAGTTGGCTCTGCCACCCCTTCCCCAACTGCAACTGGAGCCACAAAAGGCACCCTGTCCTGGTGCCTGCCTGAGCCCCTCACACGCACCACCTGACCCCGCTGCAGTGGCCAGCAGTGCTGCTGCTGTTAGGCCAAGTCCCTTGCTCCCTATCTCAGCCTCACACGCATTCACTTAAGCAGGGACCTGCACCCCAGCCTCATGACCTTGCTGAGGCACTTATCCTGCAGCGTCACAGTGCAACACCCTCACAGGGTCCAGCCCTGGAGACGAGATAATATGGAAAGCCCTTAGGCACTCAGGGCCTGGTCTGGTCCTTGCTAGACCCCAGCCTGTCATTTGTTGATAGGTATATGCTAAATAACAACCCTAAATGTACATGATGCCACATACCACTGCAGAGTGAGAGCCTGTGGGAGGTCCAGCCCACAATGCTATGCAGGAGGCTGCTAGGCCAATGCATGGCAGAAGGAAACAAGAGGCACTGGTCACACAAAGGGCATCTCCAACTGTGGCCCAAGGACGCCATGCAGTGAGGACAGGCAGTCCTGAGGCAACAAGCTACTGAAGTGAGGGAAGAGGAAGCATTTAACAAGTCACTACTGCAGAGAGACAAACAAATCCTGTCCATGCAACTTCTTAGATCGTGCAAAAAGACGTGTGGCTTAGAGGACACACAGAGCTGAGGGCCAGCTGTGAGAGGTGCCTTCAGCCACTGACACCACTGCCTGGAAGAGGACTTCGGGGTGCTCAGCTATGGTGGGACTAGGCCCCAGGCTGGCTCACCACCATGCACTGCACCCAGGTAAAGGCCCCCTCAGGCAGAGCACAGGGATAGGCAGCAGCCAGGAGCCAGAGTTCAGCTCACAGCAAAGCCGACATAGAAAGCACAAACCCAAAGAAATCAACAAATGTACTTTTACATTTTATTGCTAAAATCCCTGCCATAAATCTCACCAGAGAGGAAGTTTCTGTTTCTCCAGCTTCCTACCCAGTGTCCTTGAGAAAACAAATGACATCGCACTCAAAAAAAAAAAAAATCCCATAGTGGTTTACTTCGCACTTCCCTGTACCTTGTTATGCTGAGTGCTTCATTTAGAGAAGGCTGACCTCCTCAGCCTTCTTCATCCCAGTGCCCTTCGCTGCAGGGACACACCAAGGAACAGGTTTAGCACTGGCAAGAGGAGCCGGGGGGATGTTTTGGCACAGGTAACCCTGCCGACTCAGCATCCCAAAGGTGCGCGGAGAGTCAGCGTGACAGTGACTGCTGAGAGGTGATTTTCACAGGAGATATAGGAGCTGTGCTACAAGCACAGAAGCTGTGAATACAGTCATTGAAAGCTAATAAAGTTATGCCCCTTGTATTTCATGAGATGCAAACTCTTCCATAGGTCTGGGCAGGGGCCCTGCCTCACCTCCCAGCAATTCTACCCAGTGCAAAACTTCAAAGGTGTTGCCTCCCAGTTTTCCTTAGTAGGACACAAAAAGCATTAGAGTGGTTCAACAGAGTACAATGAATTACCACCCTGAGATACCCCACCTGAACACCCACAGGAGAACAGGAAAATCTGTAAGCTTATTTTACTGTTTTAACAGACTCTCACTAATTCCTGTGAACAAAACTGTACTGATTTGTTTTGCTGTCAGGCATTATGTAGCAGAAGGAAGGTAGAACGGACTTTGAACTACTTAACAGTCAGCAAAATAACGATGGGCACCAAAGAGCCACAAAAAGAAGATATCTACAACATTTTCAAGTCATAAGAGCCAAAGACAAAAAGCACTGATTAGGTAGAAAGGATTGTCTTGAAGAACTAAATGTAAAGTTCAGAAACCCAATGTCTGGATTAGGCTTGAATGGTTTTGTTTATTAAAGTAATACATGTAAATACCAATACAACATAATACACATTAAAGGAAAAACAAAAAAATAGAAGCAGGATTTTTTTGTGCAATTCACTCCAGACTGTGCTTCCTTTAGCAAAACCATTATCTGAGCCCGTGGTAAGGTTACAAAAAAAAAAACAAACCACAGAACAGTAGCATCTCAAAGGCTCATTTCTGGCAAGCCGTCTTGCCAAGTGCCCCATTCCTTCCAGTGTCAGTGATCTAGATTTCCTCACTACTAATATACTTGAAAAAGAAATATTTATGTGTCACGAACTAAACCAAATGCTTTGCAGTGAGAGTGAGTGGTCATCTGGTTTCTGCTAAAACAGTATTTTCCTTCTGCTGCTCATAGAAACCAGCTTGTGCTCCTCTGCTGTCTGATCCTGCCTTTACTTCCAGCTGACACACGGGCACAACCTGAACAAGAGAGCATTTTTAAGCAACATGGAAAAGAGCTTTTTTTACAGTTACCACCAGGCAAATGCAATGGGACAGATCAACACGGGCAACAACATTATCTGGTGGCCAGGGTAGAGATCCCTAGCGATGGAGTCAGGTGGCCGAGGGAAGGGAGGCTTCCCTTGAGCAATGAGCCCTCTCCAAAGTCACAGCCAGGGCAGTGCTGGAAGGAAGCTCTGGATCAGCTTGGTCTCCACATTAGAGATTTCCGACCCGCTCGGCACAGGAAGTTGTTCCTGTGGCTCACCTGAGGGAGTTCCTGTTATGAAGCCAGAGGGTGGTAGGTTGAAACACAGTTTCTGAGAGTGATGTAATCTTGGACAGCACTCCGTAGGCAGTGATACTAGTGACCTGGTTACAACCTGCAGTGTTGTTACAGCCCCTCTGCTGGTCTGGTGATCACAAGAAAGGGAAGAAAGAAAAAAAAAGACGGGAGAAAAATAATTTCAAAAGGAAAAAAAAAGATTTCCTTTGTTTAAGTGAAGCATTTTCCTTTTCCACTTTATTTGAATACACTGACCTGGTGTCTAACAGATGGAGACTGTGCAGATGCACTTTTGGGAGTGCCCATAAAATACACTGCTAAAATACAAATGGAGGGGTACTTTTTTTTTTCGAGTTGTAAATTCAATAATCATTGCTGTCACCTCACTTTCCCAAGGGAATTTGCCCTTTGTTCTCCGGATAAAGCTGGGGAGAAGAAGAAAAAAGGAAAACAAAAAGAAGAGAGCACGCAAAGGGACCATTTAGGAAAAATCCCACAGATCCATAATCTGTACAAGCATCGCAGTGTACAGCATTTGTACATCAAACCCATACAAGCATGGCTGTTTAGCAGCCACAGCAGCGCACAGCAAAATATTCTGCATGTCTTATATCCTTCTCCTATTCTCCAGACCTTTCTAACAAACAAACAGGTCAGCTAATTGGCTCCTGCCCAAGTCTTACCCACCAGGGTTTGCTCAGAGATGTCACTGAGTCATTTGGCATGAGCAAATCCCAGGCTTCTTCCTGTTCGAGTGGTGGAGTGGGTGAAAACTTTCTTAGATTTATTAAGACTATTAACAAACAGGAGAGTTCAGAAGCTTCCTCAAGCAGAAGAGCACGAGCAGAAGGGTTTTTTCCTGAAATAGCAGCTAAAAATAGGACACTTAGAGGAAGTAAAGTTCATTAAGTTATAAAGTGGTGGCTGTAGTGACAAGAGAAGAGATTTTCCTTTTTTAATCTATACATTTATATAGCATTATGTTTTCTTGCTCCTTATTAAGAGCGCTAAAGCAGTGTTTATCTGGCTGAGGAAAATATTTCCTTTTCTATTGTGACTTTAACAGGTAGCTCATCAAACACAATGGAGTCAGGTTTTAAACAGACATTGCCAGCCAACTAAGTACAACATTTGACAGCATTATTTGCCTTTTACACGCTCTTTCCACAGCTGGAAATGATATGCCATTTTCAAGACACATTCCACAGTATTATGCAACAGCTTTCTTAATTTTTAATGGATATATTATTTTTAACATGTCAACTTTTGCTTAAAGGATTTTAGTATTCTATTCAGCATATACCATTAATAAATTATTTGTTCCTTCCTCCCCTTGCCCCACCACAGCTGCACTTAGCATTGGGGAACCGTCTACTGACACTATGAAAGATACTTTCGACTGGCACAGCCCATAGACACTTCCATCATCAGACAAAGCACCAGGAGCGCACTCCTGTTTCTCCCAAGTCGACAAGCTGGCAGTGCAAGCCACCATCACAAACCAGCCTTTGGTGAAAAAACTCACAGACATGTAGCAACCAGTTGCTGTAAAAATAAGCTAGCACCCTGTACAACCAGTGACTCCTGTTAAAAGTGTTCACTTTTGGCCTGATTATCCAGCGTCCTTTAGTCATCACATCCAAAAGGTTTGGGACATCCAAAGGAAGAAAGTCAGGGTAGGGTGCTTCTGTGCCAGAGAAACTTGTCCACTTGACCTGAGTTTGTTCAGAGGGCACTCATCTCTCATCTCAGCAGATCTGCCCATTCTATAAGGGCAAAAAATGGATGAGATTTGATGTCTTCAACACCAGCAACACCAGCACCAAGACGCTCCGCAGGATTAAACTGCAAAAGCTTGATATAAAAAGAAAAAAATATATATGATTCAGTGAGTAAGAACAAAAACAACGACTTAAAAGTTTCAGAAAGGTCTAAGGTAAGGGGCATCCTACCGTTTTCCTCCTCTATGAATTACTTTCAGGAGTATGAAAGCATACTTGAAATTCCTAAAAATCCATTAAATGGAAAAAGACTCTCCTTTCCTTGAGTCTCAGTGTTACAGTCTTCAGAGACTACTGATCACAGCATGCAATTCCCTGAAGCACTGCACACGTTGGGATTTCATTTTAAGTGTAACCTCAATTTAAAAAAAAAGTGAGCAGCAGCCAGAGCCTGCATCAGTAGAACTCTGGACACTGTGTTTGCTTCATGTTAACCTTTGCTTGCACCACTGCAGTACGGCTACATCAGGGACAGTGGTCTGTAACTTTCCATTTCATAAATTGCAAGTTGGTCCTAAAACACCAGGATATTACAGACAGCTCTCTGTTTCCTAAAAGAAAAAAAAAGTTTTAAAGAGTCCTACAAATGGGCTAAACCTGAAAAGTCAAAACCCCAGTGAAAGAAAAACAGTGTAATGGCTTCACGGAAATTTCCTAAAATTCAGCACCTCGTTTGGTTTTCTAGTTGTACATCACATGCTGAATTCATGTGAAAAGGAAATCACAATATTTACATCTGTTTAAAGATACCCATCCATATAAAAGGGAATGCAAAGGTAATGCTCCAAAGAGACTAATAAAGACAAACAAAAATATTTTGCAGTTTGAGAGAACTGTTTATACTCTATTCAGTTACAAGCAGTACAAAGGCATGATTTCTTTCTTGCTTTTTCTGCAGCAGCTAATGGGATAACTTCTCCCAGTTGTCACTTGGAACAATGTGTATTCATATCTTAATGCACTCAACATCTAAGTGAGTCTACATCCATAAACATAGGAATTTACACATTTTAAGATGGCTCTGCTATTTGCAGTCATAATGTCAAATAGTAAAGGTAGCTCAGTGACAGTGAGTAGTGCTGTTCTGGTATCTTCCATAAGCCAGCAGAAACAGATGCAGCCAGGGTGTCTCTGCCTTCTGCTGAAATATAACCAGCACCAGCAGGGGGAAAGTAAGCACAGACACTCGCTTTCTGGAGTTTGTCCTTCCAGAAGAATTTTAATCTTAGAAAGCAGATGCAACACAAACTGCAACAGATATGTACTGAAAAGTCATATTGTGTATTTTGTTGGTAGTAATAATGCCTGGAAAATACCTTAAAAAATACTGGGTGCAAAATAACAAATCAACATAAAAATAACAACTTCATCTTTCACTAGAAATAAACAGAACTGTTTTCTTAGAAGCTGGCTAAATGAAGAAGGTGTTTACAACGAAGTCACCTGCACTGGAAGCCACAGTAGGAGACAACATCTGACAGTTTTCTGTATAGCTGAACACTGATCCTGGAGAGTTATTCTGTGATGCTTTGACCTGTTTACCCTTGGCAGTGGGGGGAAGGAAAGTCTCAATGACAAATTGTTATCCATGCCAAGAGAGCTTTCTTCCTTTTCCTGACAAGGCTTCCTCAGCAATGAATGGCAGCTTCCTTGGATAGTCACACAACAAAAATGTGATTTACTAGCTCATATAGCCAAATCTCCACCAGATAAGTCACCATCCCGCACTAGAAGGCTTAACCTAACAGGCACTGTGTGACTGTTCTCTGAACAGATATGGCCTTGTAATATATCTGCAAGTGGCAGAGATATATTTACCACTTAAACCGCAAGTGGCAAAAGAGCCACTCTTTGGCATATTTGAAAATAGGCAATCCATTAGTCTGCAGTGAAGAACAATCCTACATTGGCAGGGAGAGGTGGACTGGACGACTTCATTTGTTTTCACTTCTAGTCTTAAAGGGAGGAATTCACTTCATCAAGTGTGGTTTTGCTTTCTCTCAGCCATCTGATTCCTGTAGCACCTGTGGGTGAGGGTATCAATTTGCTACCATCTAACTATATAAATGCAGATTACACAAAAATGGGATTTTTCTTTAGTCACTTCCCTTTCTACTTTTGCCGGAAACACTCAGACACATGTTTTCACCTTCAGAGACTTCATGTCACCTAGTCAAAACAGGAGGTCCAAACGTCTAGTTCCATTTCCATTAATCACTTCACAGTAATGACACAGAAATCAATCTGCCATCGGGTCTTTTGGCTCACTGAATTTTCAAAATCTCCTTCCTTCGTCTTCTTCAAGAATTATTTTCTCCACTCTGCTCAGTTCATATCTACATCTAAGTTATGTCATTGTTTATGCATCCACTAGCAAGATACTCTTCAAAGCCGAACACAGTTCACATACATCACTTATTCTACTCAAGTGAAATAGGTCAGATCCAGGCACCACTTCCTCAGGACAAAATTGAAGGAAGATAGCATTACCTGAAACCCGAGATCCTGTACTACAAGTTTATTCTCTCAGTCATAACTACCTAAAGCTAATAGTAAACTAAAACCAGCAGTCAATACTATTCCCATTAGTTTGAAAATGGTGTATCAGTATGGAAGGTTGTTTGTATTTTAAGGTTTCCTGCTCTGCGTTTTGTCCAACCTACCAGTTATCTTCTTATTACAAAAGTCACTGTATTCACAGTTTGAAGTACTTAACAAATGATATCCAGAAGGTTTCCATGAGGACAGCTACAGATTTTCAACTACAGCAAGGTTGTAACTTTTAATCAGCGCATTACAGGTTTCATAATACTTAAAGCTATCTTGCTGAACTGGCATCAACATTTCTGAATTTAATTCAATTAATTACAAACATTTCCATGAACCTTTAGGGCAGAATTCCTAAAACATTCACGCATCACCAAAGGCACTCAACATTGACCAAACCTGTTCACTGAAGAAATGGCAAAGCACTCTGGTTTCTACAAAGACACCTGGCAGACCTGCATCTGTTTCCAGATGCAATGAGACAGCTGGGCAAAATTCACCAGTACTGATAAAAGACTCATCCATGTTCCTACCAGCAGCTTTCTGTTTTTACATTTACTTCACCAGAACAACTTAGGTAGATAAGTATTTGTCCAGTCTGGACATACACCTATAGGAAACAAATTTTCCCCTCAGTTACCTGCTGAATCAATGATCTGGCCTCCTTTGATACATGGTCTGGTATGCTCAAAGACGTGTGAGTGCTTATTCCTGATGGATGGCACTCAACCAGAGTCTGGAGAAAAAAAGAGAAAAAAAAATCAAAGCAGGCAGACACATTTATTAATTAAAAATTGAAGTGTTGGATTACCTTCTAGTAAACATGCAAATTAACACACACAGCTAAAATTTCAGTGCTTCCTAGTTTGAAGGTCTTCTTCAGGGAGGAATGTCTGCAGGCACTGATGTCCCTCTGGAGACACTGTTTTAGAACATTTACATCTTAGTGCCTGTGCTCTATCGCTCAAACTTGAAGAGTCTGGGAATTTGGTGGACTTTGCTCTCTTTGTGCAGAACTGTCAGCTAATCGCCACTTTGATTTGTCTGAGTGTTCTTTGTCTCAAAATGCTGAATTAATGTCTAACAGCAACATATGGCTTCTACAGTGTCCCAGGAAATAATACTGAAACTATTAGTGCAAAAATTCTGTACATCTAGAGAAGGAATGTTAGAGAACTTTGATTTCACTGCGGTTAAGAGGGCAGCATCGTTTTGGTTATTTTTTCAGTCCTGAGTTTGATATTGCTTTACCAAGTTGTTCTACTGAAGCTTGTTTGGTTTCTCTGGTCCCATGTAGACCAAGGAAATTGAGGGTACTCAGACTGGCAAAGGACATCTGAGAAAGTGAAGCAATGAAATCACAACTGGGCACACCACATGCAAGAAACTACTGGCCAAGAAGCCGGTTTCATCGAGTAACTTGCCCTCAGTCCTACCTCCCCAGTGAGGAGTTCAAAAAGAATGGCCCCCAGGCTCCACCAGTCGCAGGCTTCTGTCTCTTTGAGGATAGCGCCAACCTCTAAACATAAAACATTTCAATTAATATTAAAAAGGTCAGTTACACCTTCAAAATTAACATATATTTACAAGGTGACTGTTTAATGCTGACAGAACATATACTAAATACCACAGAGCTTTCATTATGCCTGCAATTCAGTTAGCCCTTTAGCCACCTACAGATTGCATTGTTCAAACACAGCAACACTACACATTTCATGCATAATTTGCCTTTTCTGTGCATACATAGGCATTTTCAAGACTTGTAGGCATTACAGTTAGTATCCTTCTATACTGGATTAAAACTGGACAGTGACAAACAGCAAAGCAAAACATATTTAGAGACTTTACCCTGGTCAGACAAGCTGGACTGACCAGAGTAACTTGAAGCATCCATAGGAGCAGCACAAGGGAGGTTATAGTAGTCTATGGGATGCCTTAATTTTGTCTCAGAGGGCAAGATTCATCTCATGGCAACCCACACCCTTTGCTGGGATCACCATAGGAGGCTTTTCACAAAAAAATCCTCTCTTGTCTACTGGGAACCAGGTATGTTAAGCTACCTACTTCTACTGCTAAGCCTGCTTCACATAGCCTAACCACTGAGTTAGCCAGCAACTGAGTATTGCTCCAGCTCAGCCCAAATTGTACCTAGGCAGAAAAAGGTGCTCTCCCTAGCATCCAGCCAGCACCCAACACTCATTTCTGTCCATGCCCAAGAGACAGTGGAGAGCTGAGATGGCAGTTATAGAGCCCCTTGCCATACACATTCATGCACTCAACAGCATGATGCATGCAGAAAACCCGGCCTTCACTGACTTGGACTTTAAGTTACAAAAATTACTAAATACAAACACATCACGCTGTCTGCTCTAAAACAGGCAGAAAAACAGATTGCAATGAAGATGAAATCTTCATTTTGACTGTCAAAAAATGCAGAAGCTGCACTAAAATAGCTTTGGTGGCAAAAGCCACACCAGCTTCCCAGCAGAGGACAACAATTAGCATATAGTCACATAGCTGGTGCTGTGAAAAGCATTGTGGCACGTTCAAAAAAATCTTGCTCATCATTTTATGGAGCTTAGTATGAGCATGGCCAAGGAGAACTACAGATGAGTCGCACTCCAGGGTCAGGGAAAGGAAGGTGGTAGCCCCAGAACTCCACAGATGCAGAGATGTGCACACACACTGAGCACAGAGCTACAAAGAGGGCTGTCCCCTCGGGCAGCTGCTACACAAGCAGGAAGATGCTCAGCACCTTACAGGGCCAGGCTGAGGTTGTTGTTGCAAGCGCAACAAGAAAGGATGGCTCAGACATTGTTTCCTGAGGTAGGACATCCCTCACACTGAAAAGTTTATTACAGTTAACGGCGTTTGAATGCCCAATACATCACTATAAGGGTGCCGCACATTAGAATTTATTCCAGTCCTCACAGATTAATACTTCTATCAGCATCAAGAAACTTTTACAGAGATATAATGGCAGCCACAGGAGGAACTGTATCAGCATAATTACAGGCATCTTTAAAATGTCTTAAGAACCTAGGCAAGCATCCAGATGAAGTTGAAATTATGGGAAATTGAGCAAATCTGTGTAAAAATCAAAATCTTTTCTTGCTATTCAATTTTGCATCCCTTCAGAAAGGCAGACCTTCTAGGTGACTGCCTTTTAAAAAAAGAAGAACAAAAAACACAAATTCAGGCCTTTCCATATGAACCAACTGGTGAAAGGTTTTCATAACATGTCTCAGTGAAACCTACTGAATGGAAATGCCTTTCCAGTCCGATTGTCATTTCCTAGTGCTGTATGTTCCAATAATGCACATTAAAAAACAAGATAACATGAATGGAAAGTAAAATCCGAAAACAGTATTTTAGGCTTCTTCAGAGCAGTTTTCTTTCCCAAGTGCCTTTAATCCTGTGGATACTCTAGACTAAGAACTTCCTTCTAAACAAATGTAGATTTGTATTTTTCATGTAAATTCCACACTTATTCCAGAATAAGGATAGTAAAGCCAAAAGTTAATTGACTACTACATTCTCAGTTCCTACACCACCATTAACTACCCCATATTGATACTTCCTAAATTTTAGAATAATGCCACAGAAGGAGATAGTCCATTCTTCCCCAAAGACATTCAGTGGGGATGGGCCTCTTGAGTTATAGCCTATCAAAAAAAATATTCTAAAGGTGAAAAAAACACCCCAACAACATCATCCTGAGCACACAGAAAAGAAATATTACAAAAATCTAATTTCTGAGTTTTGAAATTATTTCCTCTTATGTTGGCAACCACAGTTGCTGATTCAGTTCTCTGAAGCATCCAAGTTGCGCTGCGCTCTTTCACAGAATCACACACTGCTTATTACGGGAGGTTGACGTAACCTCAGTTACTTCACTGATGAAGAAAACAGACATGGAGGGAGAGTCAAAAAGTAAACTAGAGTAACACTTCTCCAAAATCCAAGCTCATATTTTCAACTGTAAGAACACTTCCAATATATGCCAAGCCAAAACAAATGTCACTGCAGATCTCTTAAGAGAGCAGTACTGAACTCTTCCAAAATGATATGAGTTGGATAAGCTGACAACAGTCAAGTAGCACAGACTTCTTGCTGGGCTCAGGGGGTCTGGTGGGGTTCTCATGCACACAGCAGAAACTGCGTGACAAGTCATCTGAAGCAACACAGAACAGAAAATGGAAAACATGGCAGAGGGGAACATCCAAATAACCTTTCTTTACAAAAACTAAATTTTAGCTTAACTTTTCTCCTACAAGCCAATGTCTGCTATCCTGCTGCTTTCCCTAGGTCCCAAAGTTTCCTTACTTTAGATTAAAATACATGTTTTCCTTAAAAATGAAAAAAAGAAAAAAATAATTGTGAGTACTACGAACAAACATGTGTTGTTTACATTCCCTTACTTGGAACAGGTCATATTACTTCTGATACAACATGCTGATCATTATCAGTTCAGGATATCACATCAATATTACTGCATTTTGTCTTGACTACACATCATAGGGAAATCTAGAAATTATAGATTATGAAGTGCTTTCAAGTGATACAAAGTAGCTAGCTAATGTAATATACCACATAGGGCATATGCTTTTTTTAAAGCTTTAATACTGCAATAAATCTGAACTACAATATCTGCCTTCACTAAGAAAAGATTTTCATCTCAGTCCATCAGCAAAGTAATTTAGACAACAAATGGTAGCAACCCATATGCTTAAGTGAATAACATGGGAATACGTGTGCCAATTCTTTACTTCATGAACCTTGAAATCAAGGACCTTATCCACATTTGTACAAATATAAACATGCACACACGTGCACGGTGCTGGTGTTTCTAGGACCAAAATTTTGTACAAAATTTGCAGAAAAATATTAATGTCATTCTCAAAATGACAAAAACCTTTTAAATTGGAGAAATAAAAAATCTGTGGCTCTTCCAACTTCACCGCAACTTCATTACAAGGGAGAGCTTTCTTCTTTCTCCCTTCCAATATGACATCTAGCACCAAGTAGCACACATCAGCAGCAACGCTAAATTCCTGCACAGAAGCTATTTCAACAGCAGCCACTGGGGTACCTGAAGGGAAGGAGATTTGTAAAACACACTCAGGTTCAGATGCAGACAGATGGTACAGGGAAACACCTCCACTACCCAGCACTGCTCTCCTTCCAGAGCAGCTGGTCTCAACTGAACAGACATTTCTTTATGGTTTCCATACTTATCTCTATATTTGCATTACACACAGTAAGACCTTACTTCCTGATTAGGGATACATAGCTGACAACACTCTGTATTTGTAAACAGAAGCACCAGTTCTAAAGCAGAACTTCACCTCTCCTGAACACACATCCTCGATAGTTATTATTAACCATAACACAAGGCTGATTTTCTCATTCTCTCTACAGCACCTTAACCTGAAATAGAGCCTTTATGCTGAAGGATTTCAAAGGCTTTTACTAGCACACCTCAAACATTTTCTCCCAAATAGAGTTTCCTCCAGGGCTGACAACAAGGCCTCCCAACCAGCACACACAAACACCAGCTAACATCAAAGAAGCCAGGCTTAAATTTGGACTTAGACATTCGCCGTGCAACTCAGGCCAGATGGCTTGCAAGTCACCAAGAACAAAAACTCAATCAAAAACTTCGCAGGAAAAACTGTAACATTCCCCCCAGAAAAGCATCTGACGTCAGCTCACAATAAAATAGGCTCTATGTGGAAGTACTGCTTCTCCAAACAGAAAGGGAAGGTTGTACATTGAGATGGTTTTCCTGGAGTTAAGAAGGGAACCATTTGATTCTTGGTGGATTGATAAGAATTTCGAAACCTGAGGAGGCCCCTTCCCTCACCCCATGCTTCAAGCAGAAACAGTAGACCTTCAGGCATCATTTCTGCACTGATAAGAAAACAAGGACCATCAGGTATCTGAAACCGTTCAGGAGGAAATGGACTGGTCCAGCATCCTGAAAACATCAGACACAATGTTTTCCTCTTCTGTGGCCATTAAGATAAACAGCATTGCATGAAAAACCATTAGAGTCGCTTCAGAAATTCTATTTATCTTACACTCATTTAATTTTAAAAGCTTACTATTTCATCATATTTTAATATCTATATATGTAAAGAAGCATTTGCACAGAACCAAGTAAAATGAATCCAAGCTAATTTACTCTTAAGCAGACTCAGTCAGCCAAGATATCGTAAGATACAGTCACTAAATAACACATCACACGAGCAATCTGGCCATAATGCTTTGCTTAAAACACTTCAACAATTTATAAAACAGAGTATTGAACCATCTATAGTTAAGTATAAAAAGTTTATCATGGTCTTTAAACAATAAAGTAGTGAAGCAAGTCCAACGAACGTCTGCTAAGATCAAATGGAGTATGAAAATAGGAAGTTTCATCTTAAAGGTTTTCAGAGTCATATGAGCATCTATGTTCCTCTTTGGAAAAAAATTCCTCATGTCACTAAAAGAAAAAAAAAATAATAGATACAA